ACCCTCGGTAGAGCAATCGGTCGTTTGGGGCCAGCAGCCATAACGCGTATCTCAGTCGGCTCGGCTTTTAATAAGACAGAGAAAAAAACACCAATAGCACCGCCGCATCCATCGTTCAACCATCAGTGCGAAGAAATTTCATCCACCGGTTCGATTCCTTTCTAGGCCTCTCTATCGATCCAATCGGCCGTGGAACTCATCACCGTCACCTATTTAATAAACGACGGCGATACTGGCGACAGAGATCGCTCAATCTATAGCAGTGCTTAAAAATAGTTACTGCACAAATAAATTCATAACTTTTTTTAAATGAAGTCGAATGAAGATAGAATTTATATCAAAAGTTTAGAGCTCGACGAGATCTAAAACTTTGTGGTTGATGAATTTTTTATTCGACATTGTTTAGGGGGCCATATATATTAAGTTCTCAGATTTTGAATTTTCAATTTTCAATTTTTAAATAACCTTGGATGGAGACATGTCTTGTATCAAAGTTGTTGTGTTCGACAAGATCTAAAACTTTATAGTTGAAAAGTTTTCCATTTAATATTGTTTACAAGTCAAAATATTGATTACAAGATTCATACATATTAGTACAAATAGATAACATCATATAAATAGGGACCAATGACTGTGTAGTGTGGTGATAGGGGTTGAACGCATGAGGCGAGAGGTTGTCAGTTTGAATCCTAGCAGCTGCACTCTATTATGAACTAGATGATAATACCCCTGCGTTATTGCTATAATCTTGTATGTATTTCTATAAAGAAGAATGGTTCATGGATTAAGAAATAGTGAAGTCATAACACACACTGACACAAATGTTAATTTGAATCTATGAGGGGACCGAATTAATTTTATGAAACAAACAGTTGGTAGCTACTGATGGATGGTATATATATACGACCTGAGCATGCTCTTATATGAAATGGGCCGGTCCTTTTAACTACATTGGTATAAAAAATTGGGCTTGCTAGCACCCGAACGCCTATGCTTGCAGCCGTTTTCCGTGCCGGTTTGCGCGTCCACGTGGGACCGACGTCCCAAATGTCACCAGCATCGAGAAAGAGGGAGAGGGGGCGGCGGATGCCCAGCCGGCGCCGGGTGGAGAAGGAAACACCGAGGTGTGGCAGCAGAAAGCGAGGAGGGAGATGCAACATCCGATCTACTTTAGAAACATCCAGATGGAACATTTGCAACATACGTCTGAAGGCAGATGAAACACATGAAATAAACATCTGAAATACTTGTGGAAAATGCTTAAAAAACACTTGAAAACCATTGCAAACATATGCAACATCCAGATGAAACACTTGCAAACATACGTATGAAAACACCTGAAACACTTGAAACATATGCTTACAACATGCATATATATGCAACATCCAAATCTACTTTTGCAACATCCAGATAAAACACTTGCAACATACATCTGAAATAGATAAAATATTTGGAACATACGCTTGAAACATACGTGCATAGCCAATACAACATGTGCAACATCCCGATGTACTTTTAAAACATCAATATACAACACTTGCAACATAGCTCTAAAACATCTCAAACAATTGAAACATACTCTTACAACATGCGCTTTCAGCTTGCTGCTTGCATGAATGGAGGCTCATCGACGCGGAGCTTGATGCCGTGGAGTGAGCGGAGATACTAGTGGGCAGGCGGCTACGTGGCCCCGGCGGACCATTCTCATGCTACTTCCCGCAGTCGTTCGCGCAGGTGCAGCCGGTGCATTCGATGAGGCCGCCCGAGTTGCCATCGAGCCCTGCCGCCGCGGACCTCATCTGCCTCGTCAAGAAGCTCTAGGAGCAGGAGTCCCGGCCGCCTCCGCACCGAGTTGCTAGAGCGCAAGATCCTCAAGGAAACCGTAGCCATCGTGCCATTCCTCGAGACCGACGTCGTGACTCCAGGCTGAGAACGTGTGCCTTCGCGTCGAGCTCGACGCCGCCAGGACCAACCAGTAGTGGGTGGTTAAGTTGAAAAAGGAGGTGCCGGAATCATTTTTTTTAGAAGCCGGAAGTAGGCTTCATGTTGGGCTCCACAGGCCCACAATGGGCGCGCCCGAAGTGTCAGATGCCCTGAGGAGAGCATTACCGATTCTAAATAATCTTTGTGCCCTTGGCAGTGAATGTTCCAATCTTTGTCATGATTATGTCCAAAGAGACAACTTGTCAATTGTTTACTGCTCAACACTGATAGTGAGCGAAAAAAAAAATTAATGCCATGATGTACATTAGTTTAATCACTTGATATATGGTAACCTGAACTGAAAAGGGGAAATTTAGATATTGAAGAAACAGGTAAAAACTACTGGAAACTCTCCAAGCAAGTTAGAAGTTGCTCAACGGCAGATGATGCTGTTTAGTATTTTTGGATAAAACTGAATATTGACTACATGAGTGAATAATAATTGAAAAAATAGGTAAAAGCTATATATATTAGAAAAACTCACCTAGCGAGTCAGAAGTTGATCACTATCGGTTGGAGTTTGTTTATTATTTTTGGACAAAGCTGAATAACATTCCATGAGAACCTTTAGATTCCATTGGTAAGGATGTGGTCCTATGAATTTTGCATAGTTGTCGTAATGTTTAGACATAAAAATTCTTGCCGATATCTCCCAGAAATCCGAAGCTAGCCACGCCCCAAAATAAACTTGCAAGCTATGTTCACAACTACGTTACAATCATTGTGATCCACATCTATTGCAAACAAGGACTGATTTACTCACCAAGCGAACACACGAAGATTGATTTCTTCAGGGGTAGGCCAAGCTCAATTCTTGGGTATTCAATTGAATACCCAATATTTATGGTAGAACTTGAGCATATATACGCTAGCCCCTGGACGCCCGCGCCGCTGTCCCCCATCTCGCGTCCCGTGCCCTGCTCGCCCACGTCTCGCTCGGTGCGTTCGCCTGCAAGCACGTGGGGCTCGCCCGTGCCAGTGGGGACTGCCTCCACCTTCTCGCGCCTTACACCGAGGCAAGACAACAGAAAGGCAAGGAGGCAGATGCAACACATGATCTAGTGTTGAAACATCCAGATGCAACAATTGTAGCATACGTCTGAAAACAAATGAAACATTTGAAACATGCGTCTAAAACACTTGCAAAAATATCTGAAAACACTCGAACTCATTGTAAACATACGCAACATCTAGATAAAACACTTGCATCGTATGTGTGAAAACATATACAACATACATATAAACCCACTTGCAACATACGTCGGAAAAAACACATAAAACATTGAGAATAGGAGCTTGCAAGATATGTGTACAACCATTGCAACATGTGCAACATCACGATCTACTTTTGCAACATCCATATATAACACTTGCAACATGCCTCTAAAACATTTGAAACACTTGAAACAAACGCTTGCAACATGTAGTTTCCGCGCAAACATCTCCTTGCCGCTTGGAGGATGGAGGCTCGTCAGCATGTGGAGTTCTCCAGAGGCAGCGGTCCGGCGGTGCTTGTAGGCAGCACTCGGCGGTGGCTGTGCGACAAGGAAGGGGGCAGCGGCTGCGCGTCGGGGTGGGGAGGCAGCGGCCTCGAGCCGCGCTAGGCAGGGCCAGTAGCCGAGCGCCGCGACTCACAGGCGGCTACGTGCCTGGCAGGGCCGGCCACTGTGCCGCCGTGACTCGCAGGCAGCCACGCGCCGAAACCATGAGAGGGCAGCCGCGCGCCCATCTGGTAGGGCTGGCAGTCGAGTGCCGCATGCGGGAGCGGAGCCGAGTGCTGCGAGCGGGAGCGAAGTGGAGCGGAGCAAGGTGTGCAAGAGTTGATTTTATTTTTTATTAGACGAACAACGCATGCGGCATTAAGTGGAGCGAGGCGTTTGACCTTCCAGACGTCTTAATGGTAGTATTACCGTTTATCATGAGCCATAAGAAGCAGCCTACAGGGAAGAGCCGGCACCTCCATACCAGGCAGCTCGTGGACGAATGCGGTGGAGAGCTCGAGCGGCGTTGCCGCCGCTACATTCCAAGGTGATGTCGCTGCGCATTACCACTATTGTCCTGTCCCGAATAGAATGTTGATCGTAATCAAAGTTAAGAACAATTGAGGCACGTGGGATGTTGATCGTGTGTGCGTGTGGTGCCCACGAATAGGACAACGAAAAGTTCATTGTAGGATCTGCCTATGGTAGTATAGATATTAGCTTGTTATGAACGACGTATAGGAATATGAAGTAAAGAATCAATCCACAAGAGGAGACACACGATTTAACGTGGAAAACTCCTCCGATGTGAAGGGGAAAAACCACGGGCACCAGCCAGCAACAATCTCACTATCTCAAGAGTTTTGGGTTACACGCCTATAGCAGCTTACAAGAGAATCGAGTCTCTACGAAACCCTAGCAAGGGTGTATATACCGTACCGTACCGCGGGGGGCTCCGCCCCCCGCACCCCCCGAGCACAGGGCCCAAGCCTCCGGCGACGGGCCTCCGCTTCGCTCTGTCAGAAGCCTGACCTATATCCTGAAGTGAATTTGGAACAACTCCAACAGATATTAGGCGAATTCATTATCTGATCGCAAGCCCGTCTCCTTCTCGCCTCCGGCAACCGGACAGCGCTCCAGGTCCTTGTAATATGTTTTTCCCAGTTCTATATACACCTCCCTCCTCTCTGAAACTCTCTAGCCCAGTCGCCGCCTACGTATTTTGGGTTAGGCTTGATGACCCGTTTGCTTCGTACGCGCGCGGGGTACAGCTTCAGTTTGCGCCCGGCCCTTTTTGGCGATCGCCTCTCTTTCCTCGTGCTAGCGCGTCCTTCACCATCCCTGGTGCAGAACAAGTACTTTTTTTTTTTGCGAAGACAGAACAAGTAGATGTAGCCGTTGCAGCATCTTGAATGCCGACATTCGCGTACATTTTTCTTGTCTATGTGGGCCTCTATTGAAATTCTGATGAATCAAACCAACCGGCACCGATGTTTAAGATCTTCTAAGGACGCTCATACAAGTGAAATTTTTGGCCTAATAGCTCTCACCAGACCACCATAACTTTGCCTCTCTGTAAACAACGCGTGCCTGAAAAAGGCTCTTTGATCCAATATAATGTCCCGTAACACTTGAACTGGCACCGTGCCACCAGTAGCAGCTTGAGCCTTTGGAGCTTTGGTCATGTTTGAGGTCTGCAAGATTCTGCAAACCAAGGACGAGGCCACTTTCCCCAAACTTGAACTGGCACCGTGCCACCAGTAGCAGCTTGAGCATTTGGAGCTTTGGCATGGCTCCCGGCTCAAACTCCAATGGCTTGAACTGGCACCGTGCCACCTCACAGTTGTTGTAACTGCGTACATTAAACTTGACCAAACGCTGGAATCCTTGTCTGCTGATTGCATGCCTTGCATAGAGGATGCCTGAATCTCCATCTTGGTCATTGGATAAGCCAACAGTAAGAGAGAGCCGCATGGGTAAACTTGCTAGGATATTTATTCCTTCCTTGCCTGCTTCACCGTAAACACCAATGTAGAGGCGAGACAGGTTGACTAGTGAGCTAATTTGAGGGCCCACCCTATTTAAGTTAATTGTATTAAGAAGAAGCTTTTGAAGTGGTGGTGGAGTAGGGACACACGAAGCCATGAATGAACATGTGGCATCAGGACCCCTATCCCACGCGCGTAGTTCTCGCAGATGCCTGAACAGCCTGGAGACCGTTGAGATACATGCTTCCTTGTGGCCCTCCATATCACGTAATTTACGAGAGCATGGCCAATCAATTCCAAGTATCCTCAGATTGGTCAGATCACCCAGTCCTTGGATAAACTCTACAGATTGAATGTCCAAATCGATATCTGATAGCTCTTCCAACGCCTGTAGATTTCTGATTTCATCGGGCAGGTGCACTGGGTCACGGACAAAAAGACGCACTAGCTTCTGCAACAGCATAATACTTGCTGGTAGGTTTTCAAGACCGGACCCTCTGAAATCTAGTGTCTCTAGATGTTGCAGCTTTTCTATATCTTCTGGAAGCTTGAGGACCCCGACAGATTGATGGCCTGCCCTCAAGTACTTCAATTGACCAAAACTTTTGACATGTCCAAGACTGCATCCAACAAACTGACTTTCTATATTCAACACTCGCAAGATTTGGTTGTTTAAGAACTCAGAGGCGTGCTTATGGACCAGCACTAAATTAAAACCAAAGATATTAATTGATCGAATATGAGGTGCATTTTTTATTGTCTTGGCAATCTCTTCCGCCCGGGCAGAAATGTCTTTCTGGATGGATAAACGGCGAATCTTGTTCGAAGAATAATTTTTAGAAAAACCATTACCACTCCATATGGTAACAAAGTATGACATCATGAACTCTGCATTGTTTCACGGTTGTGCCATCTGCCCCAACCTTGGTTGGCTGGACCAAGCTTCTATTGATCAGTTCATTCAAGTAACTTCTCCCTAGTTGCTCCATACTTTCTCTGTCCTGTCCAGGAATCAGTCCTTCGGCAACACACAACAATATCAACTGGTGGCAATAAATGGAATAATCCTCTGGAAACACACTGAGATATAGCAAACAGCTCTTTAGATGGTGAGGAAGGTCAAAGTAACTCAGCAGCATAATTCTTTTCATCTTATCAATGGGAGAATCTTTGTCAACTGCAGCAGCAATAGATCTCAATACATTGCTCTAGACTTCCACTGTTTTGCTTCTGTTTGCTAATAAACTAGCTATACTGATTATGGCTAATGGTAAGCCGCAACATTTCTTCAAAATATCATCGGATACTTTTCTCAATCTGGGTGACAATCATCACCGGAGAAAAATAGCCTCGTAAAGAATAATCTCTGAGAGTCCTCATCACTAAGTGGCTTGGCTTCATACATTTGTGCGGCAATACCAGTACAACATTTGTTGGCTACTGCTTTACTGCGTGTTGTAGTAATAATTCTGCTTCCATTGTCATTGACAGGTAAGGCAGATCGTACAAGGTCCCATGCTGATTCACTCCAGATATCATCAATCAAGATGAAGTACCTGAATGCATTAGTTACGGAATCATGTTATTATGTAAGGCCACCATGAATTTGAGCATATTCTGGTGAAATTAAAGAAATCGGAGAAATGTAACAAGAAGATGGATCGTTGTGGCACACTTTTCTATCAATAAGTATTACTGTATGTCTGTATTACACATGAGAAATACAGACTGTAAACTCCTAATATTTAATAAATATGTTACAACTTCCAAAATAGTTGGTGCCGCATTAGAACACCTAGAGACCCACTCAAAAGACATGACACATTCAGTTCAAAAACTGAGTTCCAAAATGAGATTTTTATGGATATTTAGAATTCTAGTCATATTTTTCAAGAAGTAATTTTACTGAATATGGATTAGATGGTGTAAAGTAAATTTTTTACCAAAATGATGCACAGTTGACTTGAGTTTGTTCATTGTTGTAACATCTTTAATGATGACATTTGATAGATATGCTGAGCCATTGAAGTATCTGAGGTAGTTTAATGCTGTCAAGTTCATTAGGCCAGGAAAAAATGAATCATTTTTTAAAATTCCCAGAAAATTTCATAAATAGCCTAATAAATAGGTGAGCTCATGTGATGAACAAATATTGCACGACATTATTCTAGCTAGATGAACTGGTTAACTATTAGAAAAAGAAATAATATTGATTACCTCTTGTCCTTTAAGCATTCTTTCACTGTGCGGATGAGCTGCTCAACTGTCTCTAACATCTGTGACTGGTCAAAATGGCTCTTGCTTATTTGAGACAATATATCTGTCAGAAGCCTCTTCATATCTGGAGTTTGTGATACAGACACGAAAGCCCGGCAATCAAATGCTCCAATGATTTTGTGGTACACCTCCATGGCGAGAATGGTCTTCCCCTGTCCACCGATCCCATAGATGGACACCACTTTGTGCTGCTTCTCTTCACATTTCAATAACCTGATGATCTCCTCACGAGGAGCATCAATTCCCACAAGATTGCTGGCCTCCTGAAAGAGTCCAGGTGCTCGAGGATCCAAGAGCACTGGCTGAGATGAGGCAAGGAGACATTGATTGATGTCGTAGTAGCGTTTCCGCCGCTCGCTCTGCTGCTGACGAGGCTCTTGAGTTCTCGGATCTCCTCTGCTATTCCTCCGTCCTTGAACAGTGTCTTCACCTTTCGCATGGCCTTGCGCACAAAGTTGGCCTTGGAACCTCCCTGGCTGTGGTTGAGCATGAAACAGTCGATGCAACCCTCAATGTCGTAGGACAGCTCACGTACCTTGCTCCTCCAGTCCTTGGCGCGTGGATCGATCTGGTCGTCGTCCTTCTCGGCGAGCATCTGCAGAACAGCATCCATGCTGCTCAGCTCCTCTTGCAGGAAGCGGATCCCGCGCTCGACGTCTTTGGCGAGCTTGTACTTCTCGGTGAGCATGGCGGCCAGCTTGCCGATGACGGAGCCCATTACACTGGTGGCGGCGGCGCTCACCATCACTTCCACCATCTTGAGTCGCGACTACGGCTGACTGAAACGCTAGCTAGCTTGTGACGTGGTGTGAGAGAGGATAGGTGATTCAGTTCCCAGGTTAAAGTGTTAAAGTGGGGCAGACAAGAGCCACTCCAAGGCACGTTGTCGCTGACAGTCCTCACGACGGCTTCAGTTGTCGAGAAGATTAATTTAAAGAATGCTTTTGCATTTGTGAAAGGGAGCCCGTTGTTTGGCCGATCTCAGTGATATGTTCCATTACACTGTTTCCAAAAATGTTACTACCTCTACCCACAAAAAAATACAATTCTCGTATTTCGAGGAGTCAAAAGTTTAAACCTTGACTATAATTACATAAAAATATATTAATACTCATAAAACAAAATAAGTGCCATTAGATTAGTTATAGAATATATTTTCATAATAAATTTAGTTAGAGACATAAATGCTAATACTATTTGCTATAAACTTGGTCAAAGTTGAAGTAGTTTGACTAGCACATTTCCCATAATTATATTCTTTTATGGACGGAGATAGTATATCGCTTTATAAGTTTTGGTGGATGAAGAAAAATAGCCACCGTCAATACATAGATTCATTTCACTAGTTTTATAAACTAGTCTCTCGACACTAAATAGCTACTACGTACTATGGTAATCAAATATGCCATATAAATAATGTAGACTCTTATGATAATCGAAGCCAACATTACTCGAATCTCGCTTTTTCATGTGTGTGCAAAAACACACAGAAAAATACGAATACCATCAGAAAAATATTTTTCTGACGGTGTATCCTTAGAAAAATACACACAGAAATATAATGACAGAAAAATCGAATTTTTCTCGTATGTTTCTCGTCGAAACAATTTTTCTCATGGGTCTCACGCACGTACGAAAAATTATGTTACGCCAGATTAAAACTAATTTTTCCGTGTGTTAATCCACACGAAAAAGAAATAAATGCCCGAAAAAACACATGTTTTTTTTTTTGGTCCGGTCTAGGTGAACTCACGTAAAAAATTATTTCACCAGATTAAAAAAAAATATTTCGTAGCCACTTTCATAGGAAAAAGAGTTAAACACAAAAAAATATTTTAAAACAAAGAGCAACAAAGATATTAAAATATATATTTTCCATATAGTACTTTCTCATGCATGACCAACGGTGTTTCATTCAAATAATACACAAATCGGTAGTTCATCATGAATAGAGTTAACACTTATGTCAAAAATAGACGACGACACGAGTCGCCTCACTTTGCTCATTTGCTGCTGAGCCTCGACCTCGGGGCGGAGAAAGGCCACCAGAGCTCTGCATTGCCAAGAAGCAGCCCGATCACAAAGAAGCACGCACAATGTATTCTCGAGTTCATTCAGCTTGCGTGATGTGATTTACCTCGATCGGGACTCCGTCAGAGCGGACGACGGCTTCCGTCGTGCCCAACTGCTCATCTTGCCGAGAACCTTCAATCAAAGACAGTGCAATCTGGATCAGCAGACGAGAGGATGGTAAGCCGAGATAGCATGGAACAGAGGAATGGTGGTGGTGGTGAGCAAACCTTCACTTGCAACTGGAGAAATTTGACGTATTCGATGATCTCTTCAAGCATGGATGCCTTGTCGATCCGCACGGGATAAACGCAGTTTTTAGAAACTAATGTACTACAAATGATTGTTCTTTGACAAGAAATAGTCAAGAGGATGCAATCGAGTACCCTGTTGGAGTTTGGAACGAGCTCTCGTAAGTTCTTCATTGAAACCTTTTTTTGGCAAAAAAACATTTATCCACTTGAATCTTCAGCATGGAATGGATTTTGTTACTTTTAACTTCGATTATTTTTTTCCCTTCTAGCTTCTATTATTTCATCACACTTCCAAGTGCATTTTTATATATCAGTTTCTATATTAACATTTATTGTTGTTATTATTTTTATATTCATCCTATAGAAGGAAAATTTGTACTCCCTCTTGTCCCTGTCAAAAGGAAAATTTGAACAGGGACATAGGTTAAGAATTTACAAATTGACAGATCCAGAAGAGAAATGACATGAATTCCCCCTCCTATTCAATTAATTTGGCTGAAAAGCTGAGAGTTGAAAGTATGTTTGGGTGTTATGCACAAATCCTTAGGACACAACAAAATAAACATGGGAAAAAGAGGGTAACAAGCATCTAAATTAGGCACAAGCCTTAGAATTTAGGATTAAAAAGAAAAACCAATACAGTTTGGAAATTGGCAGGACAGAATGGTCAGTGCACTATATCATTCTCTATTAAATGAAGACATGGCATTACAGGTAAGGACATCAGAACACATTGCAATGGAAGTAAACCAAATGGAGCATGCACACAAATACTCAACCATTTCACACAAACAATTTTAAGAATGTTAAAAGGCTGGATGAAAACAATCAAGAGAAAACGAAAGTGGTAGTAACTTGGCAGCTAATTTCCAGATGTCAAACTGCAAACCTAAGTACAACAGCATGAACACTAGACTGCATGGTTTATATCAGCAATGCTTGTATCAGCACATCTACCATACACTAAGAAAAACACTAAAGACAGCTATGATACAAATCAGAGAGCATCCTATTGAAGTCAAATGTTGAGAGAATCACACTTTGAGGTGCTACGCCAATTAGCTATTTCATAAAAAAACATCCAAATTATTGCTAAGAAATAAGGGATTTCAGCAGGATAGGCATGTAGACACATTAGCATAGTAGTATTGTCAATCTAACATACTCTTGCAAGTGAATAAAATAAGTTTCTAAACAGGCCATTTGACATTGCTAACCACCTTGCAAGTGAATCATACATATTCAAATCAGATTGTTATATGGCAATAAAATAAGTTCATATTTATCAAGAGCAAGCAGTCGGTTCTTACTACTGATTTTACAGTTTACAGTCCTATCAGTAATGCCTAATTTCAATGCAATTCAGAGGCAAGGATAATGCTTGTTTAGTTCACAGTTTGAGCAGATATCAGTCAAGAAAATTATTGTTGTCATTGCCAACCTCTAAGGATTTTATAAAACATACTCAGATCATGAAACCTACTCTTAATAATGTTCTAGATCTATATGATTGGCTATAGCTCACCGGAACCCTAGATCCAGGAGGAGGAGGGCCTACCTCGTCGGGGTCACCGCGCCACAGATCCGCCACCACACCACCACGGGGTTGCCGCACTTGAGGTCTGTCTGTGGCAGCCTTCTACGCGCGCTAGGGTCGCTGTCTTGCCGGCTCACGCGCCAAGGGCCTCCCGCCGCCATCCATGGCGCGTCGCGCCACCACGCTGCCGGGAAAGGAGGGGGCGCCGGATCCGGGGAGAGGGCGTCGGATCCGGCGAGGGGGGCCACCGGGGAAGGAGGGGCCGCCGGGGAAGGAGGGGGCGCCGGGGAAAGGAGGGGCCGTCGAGGAAAGGAGGAGCGGCCGGGAGAGGAGGAGAGGGTAGGCGGCCAAGGGGGGAGGGGTACTGGGGCCGGGAGGAGAGGGGGCGCTGGGGCCGGGAGGAGAGGGGGAAGAGGCGGGCGCCAAGTGGGGAGGGGCTGGGGGCGGGAGGAGAGGGGGCGCCCGGTGGGGGGAGGGCGCTGGGGCAAGGGAGGAGGGGGCGGGCGCTGGGGGAGGAGGAGAGGGGGGAGGGGGGTGTCATGGTGTTTGGTAGCCATGGCTCTCGGGTTAGGGTTAGCACTTCTTTGTTTATTTATTTATTTTATTAATAACATTTTTCTGTGCGTGCATATATTTTTTCTGTGCGTTTTTAAAAATCTACATAATAAATTGCATTTTTCTGTGAGTTTTTATTTTTCCGTGTGTCTATTGTTACGCACAGAAAAAATGTTATAATTATTCTGTGGGTTTTCGTATTTTTCTGTCGGGATATTTTGGAACCGACAGAATAATCGTAATTTTTCTGTGCGTACCAAAAAACGCACAGAAAAATTCGTCACCCACAGAAATATTCGAGTTTCCAGTAGTGCAAGGGGTCGGCACGAGAGGCCAAGTGGGCAGTGCGAGGGTCGCGACGGGGAAGAAGACAGGTGAAAAAAAGATTTGAATTTTTGGTGGATCTGGATTCCGTAGACCTTTCTCGTGTAATGAGTGGTATGGTAAGTAATTTTGGCTAACTCAAGGGATCCATGAGTTTTCAGAGCACCCCTTGAGATGCTCCTTGAAATCCATGGATTGAGCCCCAGGTTTGGATTTTTGGTGGATCTGCATTCGGTGGAGCTGAGGCGTTTATGTAAAAAAAATCAGATATGAAGCTGTTTTTTTAAATCTAGAGCACTTGAAGCTCTGCCAATAAGTTCCTCACTGAGGTCGGCAATGTGATCATGCGGTGGGGTCTTGTTAAATATTAAGGAAAGAATATGAACAAAACCCAGAAGTAGACTTCAGAGTTTGATATAACTCTTGTACCTTTCCTTTCTTTCTTTGTAAGACTTTCCTTTATTGAATATATTGTTTTCTACTTTCCGTAAGTTATTCATGCAAGTGTTACTTATTTAGTAGTAGTCTTGATCTCTAGTTACAATGTGTTATAATTAATTGGCTTGTTTAGTATAATTGGTTATATCATAGCATGGATTCACAGCTCTTCATAGAGTGCTCTAATCAATTCGTCATGGCCAGGGTTAGAGTCGTAAGTTCATAGTGTGAACATGGTGTTTAGACTATCTTACATATGTTTGCAGCTAGCCCCACGAATATATTGTGGTAGTTGGTAGATGGTGATAGCCCTATCGATCCCATATATTCCAACACGTTCGGGCTAGTTCTTAAAGCATATGGTTTAATTGTTTTTTATCTCTGTCGACCCTTCTCATTCCTTTGTGTTCGTATCGAGACTATAGCCCAAAGTAGATATGGAGCTATTTTTTTAATATAATGCACTAGGAGTGTTGTCAAATAGACCCCAGGGCAATAAGTTCCTCAGTGAGATTGGCAATGTGATCATGCAGTGGGACCTTTTAAATGTTCCTTTCCGCTTTTTTTAAGGCTTTCCTG